GGGGAAAATTCGGCATAATTTACAGACCCGGGGGGGGGGGGGAGTCAAGCAATGGCTGAATTAAAGTTTCGGGAGTAGAGATCCTTTTTTTTCTTTCTTGCTGTTGTTATCGGACGTTGAAAAATTAAAACTGGCCTAGTTAAAAATAAGCCTGCTTCCCCGGCAACGCAGCGGAGTGAAGCTAGCCGGCTGCCCTCGCCTCCCTGGGAATATTCGGCATCATTCACAGATGCGGGGGGAGTCAAGCAATCGCTGAATTTAAATTTCGGGAGTAGAGTTTTTTTGTTTGTTTGTTTGTGGTTTTTTTGTTGTTGTTATCGGACGTTGAAAAATTAAAACTCCACACACCCTCTCTATAGCAAAGTCGCTCCCAGGCTACTTTGTTCCCCAAAAAACATCACGCTTGTGTTCCGGTTTGCTGAAAGGCAGGCTTTAAAAAAAAAAAAAGGATCAGGGGGTGTGTGGGAGAAGGAATGCCGTGGGGAGAAGCCACTCCGGCTGCCTGAAACCGGATCATCTCGGCCGCCTCTTTCTTCTGTCGCAGAGCCTGGCCCTGCACCGCCGATGGGCCAAGGAGGCTCCGTTGCCCGGAGCTCCTGCCCCAAAACAGATCCGAAAGGTGCCAAGACCAGGAGAGAAACCCCCGCTGGATTCACGGCTCCTCCTGAGGAGTCCCCCACCCTCCGGACCCTGGCTGAGATCCTGTGGACAGCCTGAGACCTACAACGCCCCTGGCCCATCGGACCCGCCCAGGCTGTCCGCTGACGGCTGCCAGGCCAGCGGCGACGGGTGCCCCTTTCAAGGCCAGCTTCCTCATCGGCCGGACAAGGGAGCCCGAAGCTGTTGGGTGCAAAGCAGCCACACATCGGGCCGGCTGCACTCCACGGGGCCAACGGTTTGCTCCAAGATTTTCGGCCTTTCCGGACTTCCATTTGGGGACATCAGGCCTGGCTCTGGTAAGAGTCGAGAGGGTGGGATTAGCGACCTTCGACGAACAAAACTGTCGTCGGCTCAACAGGTTCACGAATCCAATCCAGGGCTTCAGCCCACCCCCTGCGGTCCCGTCGCTTCCACCCCAGTTTTGACACACCGGGTTCCTCCGCTTGCGAAACCACGGCAAGGGTAAGTGGGGCCATCATCCCATTCCTGAAACAGGACGGCCGGGTGACGTCATGGACACAAGCCTTCTCGGCAGCGGCAAAGGCTTTCTTTCCAGGACAGCGTCCACAAACACCCCCTAAAAGCACACCGGCTTTGTCGTTCCCCACCAGGGCTGTTTGAGGGATGGGCGGCTCTCACGGCAAATTATAATCAGCCGCCCCCGTTTATATTCTATATGCATTACAGTTGTTACTTCGAAGTAGATTCGAAACCGGTGGGATATTTTATTAAACTCCCTCACACACAAAGAAAGGGAAATGTCTTAAGAATAAGTTCTAAAGAGAATTTTCAGATTCTCTGTCATTAAAGAGGCCACCTGGCTCCCTCCCTGTTGTACTTCTGCCCGTCGACAAAGGCTCCTTTATGCCTTTGGCAACTGATCTCACTTGCTGTCACTGCTTGGATCGATGTCATTGTTTTGCATTTGTAAGCCATTTTATGCAATCGTACTATGTTGTTCAGAAGCCCTCCTGAGCCCCATTCATGGCACAAAAGTTGATTATAAGTCAAATGAAATCATCATCATCATCCAGATATTTCTTCATTCCATTACTACTATATCTGGTGTGTTATGGTTCAAGGTGTCTATCTTGATATTCTCATTTTCCGACACCTTCTCTACCTGAAATGTCTGGATCACTGACATCCACTGCAATTCCAGGGGATGCCAGAGTTGAAAATAAAGAATTGGAAAAACTAACAGAAGTACAGAGACCTGGTGATTAAAACATCTCACTTGTGGATGGAACACCCTTCAGTGGTCCCCGTAGTCATTGGGGCTTTGGGAACAATATCAAGAAATTTCACACAGTATTATAAGCGGCTTCAAATCTCAGAAATAACACCACGAGAGCTGCAAAAAAACAGCAATATTAGGAACGGCACACATACTGTGCCGATATTTAACAGATACTTAGGTTTTTGGTTAAAACTTGTATCTGTTATACAATACCAGTCAATGTTTTTATAATTTTGATTGACTGGGCCTGGTGTTTTTGATTATGACAATGATCATGACAAGCATTATATTAAGCAGATTGTAAGTATTACAATCAAATACCGTATTTTTCGCTCCATAAGACGCACCTTTCCATAAGACACACCAATTTTTAGGAGAAGAAAACAGGAAAATATAATCTGTTTTCTTCACTCCATAAGACGCACAGACTTTCCACCCCCGTTTTGTGGGGGAAAAGTGTGTCTTATGGTGCGAAAAATACGGTAACTCCGTCACAGTTTATTCTCCTAATGAGACTCATGGGCAGTTGAGATTCTAAGTCAGGAAAGAATGTGCATGTAATTAACCGATGGAATTCTCACTCCCAGGACATTCATTCACAGCCACCAGCTTTAAAGGTGGATTAACAGAGTTTGATTGTTATTCATTCACAGTCACCAGCTTAAAGGTGGATTAACAGAGTTTGATTGTTCCTCTGCTTCAAAGAAGGGCTGAAGAAATGACTGCTAGATCCTCCCTGGATTGTTCTCATCCCTTTTCCACATCTTAAAGTCAGTGGCCGTGGCTCGCCTATTTTTGGCAACTGACTTCAAGGAAGGTTTACAAGATGTGTTCAAAGGACCCTCTTCTCAACCGCTGTAAACTTCCTGTCCGTCTCCTTCAACAAGTGATCACAGACACAAAAAGGATGGGGGGAAATCGGGTAAAAGCACCCCACCTCTATCCATTTTCTCCACATTGTTGTAATCCTGGGGAGGGGTGAGGGAGATTCATTCCCTTGGGTTTCTTAAAAATGGATGCTTTTTACACCCCCAACCAAGAGAAGACCAGACACTTACAAGAGTATTTTGCCGTTTATTAAAAGCCCTTGTTAAAATGCACAATCTGGTCTGCTTTGCACAAAATGCAGACATGCTTAAAAAAAAGGAAAACATAGTCAAACCCACTTTTTTTAAAAAAAACAAGCAAACACATACACACCCTAATAAAGGGCCAGATTTTGAAATCTCATCCATTCACTGGAAGAGTTAATTCTTCCTTTACAGTAATTTTGGACAGAATTCCTACATGGAAGTTCTCCGCGTAGTTCCCAAAGGCACTTTTTAATCAAAAGCACTATTTAGAAAAAGGATACACAACTTAAACTGTGAAACGCAAGAGGC